TCAATCTTTTGAAAATGAAACAGTAAAACCACTTCAGACTGGATTTCGTATATTTGTATACACCTTTTACTTCTAGTTGGGTTTAAGTTCCTACCCATAAATGGATGAGTACAGTCTTACAGCAAAGACAAACATGATCAGTTTGTCATATGTGAATGTTTGTTATGTAAATGAAGCATTTATAGGTTCTTATTAACCCCGATGGGTAGATAAAAGATGAATTATCCTTACGAAAAAAGACGGTGTTCTCTGTATTTGCTAACATACTACCGATATAATGTAGTCACTGCCTTGGATGATGAAGAAGTAATAGGTGGTGACCAATATTCACGGAGAATCATGAGAACAAATGGTGTTGTAAGGTGGAAAACACAAAGAGACTTGATTGATGATGTGTTTACTGTTAAGATACCTTGAAAAGAAACTGAGCGCATTTTGATACATTCAAGCTTTCTTCTTTTCTTGATCGTTAACGTTTCGATGCATTTTTCACAATTTATTTATTTCGAAACGAACTTTACTGATCCACATTTTCTGGTTATATTTACCTCAAATATTGTGCTTAGTTCTTTTATTTTTCTCCTCAAATTTAATTAGTTTTTCCTCATTGTACTCATATTAAGAATGATAGAGTGGAATGATATGCAAATGATCCACCTTCTAAGATGTTTACTCTTGCTTTACACTGGAAAAACAGTATGAACCTTTTAGTGAATAGTGTAAAATGGTGAGGTGGAAATTTTGAAATATTCTATGCACCTATATAAATGAAATGTCATAATAAAATTGGACAGGAATTGTTTACTATTCGTAGAGTATTCGATCATTTATCTTAATGAATATGAAGTAGAAGATAATATAATTAATCTACACGTAAAGTCCAGAAACTAATCAACTCAAGAGAAATGCATATCATCGTTGCATTAATAGTTTTTCTTCATTAAAATACAACAGATATTTCCAAATGCTATTCACTGGTTTTATGACTTTGTGAACTTGCTATGCAACTGTTGGAAATTTAGTGTATCTACGGTAAATACTATGTTATCGCTCCATAAAGTTTGAAATATACTTATCTCTGAACATTTATTATTATGTTGCTTGAGTCCTAAGTTCTACCGTAATTCTGTCAGCTGTTTATGCAATACAGTTCATAAATGGAAATGTACTACATATTATACAGTAACCTTGCCATATGACGAGCTGATTGACTGAGTTTCAAGGTGGAACTTTGCAGCAGTTCAAGTTACCACACTTCATATAGCACAAAAAGGTTAAGAAAAAATTCAGAAGAACTAGAAATGACTTAATTAAAATTCCTGCTTAATCAACGTATTTCGCTTGATCACACTCATCAGCAAAGTATGTCTGTAACGTTGAAAAAACTCATGTTCTTTCCAAAGTCAGAGCATGTTTCATCCAGGGATAAGTGCAGTGAATGTATCACATATCAGTTCAGCTTATGACTTGTGGTTACTTAACGGTTGACACCTATCAACAAAGTAAATGGGCGTAATAACGCTTAAGTAAATTTTCTTCATATGAATATATTCAAAGAGTGATACATGTAATTTTACTGAAGTATCAGTACAGCTTTGCATCAATGGATCAAGTTAGTGAACAGTGATCACTGGTTTGTGTTGTTTTAGGTTTCCGAAACAATCGCCTACAAAACATAAGAACTCAATTAGACAAGTAAGTTAATCATCAGCAAAATACCTTGCAATGATTGTGAGGTCGATTACATAGATCAAATTAGTCGATGGGAATCAATTAGGTTATCAAAACATCGAAATTTAGTCTGATATGGAATAACCGAACCGGTTCAAGTCATCCAGAAAAAAGCTCAGCCACTGAGATGCTTGCAACTTGCATGTAACCAGAGAGTAAAGTGGGATATAATTAAAGCATTAAAAAGTAATACAGTTAAATTGACAGAGAGAGGAGAGTTAATTACTGAATATTTGTTTATCGAGTCAACGCGATCGGAGTGAAATAAAATCAATTTCAGATATACGGAAAATTGTATTAAAAAAAGGAAGAAGCGGGGAAATTGAGTTACTGATATGTTTGTGAGCATTAAATTATGTTTCAAACGTGATCTAATGATTAACAGTGCATCAATGTGTTACATCAAGTGAACTTATATAATAAGGAATTAATTATCTTCCGGCATGCTGCCTAAATTCTAACATTACATTAAAATCGAGTTTTAACTGCCCAAAATAGATGAAAGTAGACACTTAGAATATTCACCACAGAAACGATTATGCCTAATACGGTTAGTGAATCAAGCAACTAAAGTGAATTAAAAATAATTCAGGAAGTTCAAAAACTTATTTGAGAAAAAAACTAGTATCTTTGATGTCTGCCTCCGCATTAGTAGATTTGGGCTCCTTAACGCCACACACAGTGAGTCAGTGGCACAGCGGTAGAGTCCTCGCCGACCACGTAGATGGTCCGGGATTCGATCCCCAGACGATGCACTCCTTTACCTCGCTAAGCCAATAATAAGACTGATAAAGAGGGAAGGTTTGGCATGAGGCTAGCAACCCCATCCTGTAAAAATAATCACTACTGCTGCAGAAACTTGAAGCCCTATGTTCTACTGGGAACCTAAAGAAATAAAAAAACGCCACACACACAGAAACAGTTAGAATATATCAGTATCTAAGATAAGTCTGTGACAGTCATCGGCTATTTCCAAAATAATTGTGTTAGTCAGCGTATAGTTATAGAAGTAAATTAATCAGACTTGCACAGAAACGCATTTCACTTGAGGGCGTGAACACTGGTCTGATTGATCGATGTGATTTTATGATACAGTCCCAAGAAGTTAGATGACATGATTTCTATAAAACAAACTTAGTAACTATAAGGTTACCAAGTATTTCAACGTCATCAGTAAATACAGATAATTGAGTACCTATCTACATTATGGAGCACAGTTACAACTGCTGGGTTGCTACGTATACTTCCAACTGATTTTACCATCGTACGATGTTATTCATGTGCTACTAAGTCCACCTATTGACAACCAATCGCCATTTTCACATGTGAATATAAAAGCTCTAACAGTTTATTGTTTTCAAAAGAATGGATACTGAACAAAGAGTACTTTTTCCGATAACTTCATCATCAGGCTCCACAGTTATATATACATTATAGTGAATGAATGAATTAGTGTTATGAACAGCACTAATGTTTAAATATCATCGAATCAGTAGTACTGATAGATTACAGCTCAATAGCATCAACATAAAATAAGCTGAATGTCAGAAAAATTAGGAAAGATAATATTACAAATTCATGAATTTATAGTCTCTACTGAAGACCAGGGCAGTAGTAGGGGGCAGGACTTGCTTCTTTTGAACACAGAGCACTGGTTGTTTGAGGCAAACCGCAATAGCCTCTGCTGTTTGGAGCACGCGGTGCTTCGATGATTTTGGCAATTTATTAGGAACCCGATAGATTATAGAGGAGGATTCTTACACTCTGAATTTGTGGCCGGGTTGCACCAGAGGTCGGGTGTGAGGAAAAATACTCGCCACCGAAGACATTGGCTAGCAGTTGCGCTTTATCGTGAATTGGCAGAAGTTAGCATTCATGGGCCATTGGACCGGGTCCCAGTGGCTTAATGGTCTACGAGCTCGCCTTGTAACCAGAAGGTCCTAGTTCGAACCCCGGTGGGTGCGTACTGCTGAAGAGTCCCAAACTAGGACGAAACGGCCGTCCAGTACTTCAAGGTTTTCCAATGGTTATCTAACCAATGTCAGCTCATGATGAAATCCTGTAACCAATCAACCAAATTCCTACAAACCAATACTTCAATATGGAACCGTTAGTGGTTTTAACTACACCTTTACTTAGCCATGGTGGGATTTGTTCTCGAGCGCCGAAAAATCAAGTTCCTAGGGCAACGGCTAACTTATTGTTTACCTTTTTTCTTGTTATTCATACATGCATATTAATTCAGAAATACTATGAAAATGATTATGTACTTAGGTTGTTGAGTTGAAGAGTTCTACAAGAATAGGCAAATTAAATATCTTTTTGTTTCAGTTGTTTGTTCCATATTCTTAGTAAAAAAAGACGCGTCTTACAGTCATTTAGCACAGATGGTATTAAATTTATCACAGTTCAAATGCGATAATGACGAAATTCGATGTAAGCAAGGATATGTAACCTACTCAAAATTAGAGAATACATCATCTTAATTTGCGAACCAGATAAAATACAACAGCTCAAATGATAAGACGAAATGCTTCTTCTTTTCAATGAATATTGACGGAAGTGATTTTCAAAGGCATAATGTTCGAGTCAATGCAACAGAATACGGTAGACAAAATTTGAAACCTTCAGTTGTATATTAGAATTTCAAATTCTAACCCGTCAACTTGATACACGGTTGAATAAGTTAAGTATTGAAACTGCATAGTACCCCTAACCTTGTTCATGAAATAGAAAAGTATTCCATGGCTGTGATATACAGGCTTCACAAATTAAAAAGAGTCGGCTGTCTGCTGAAAAGCACACTCATTAGATACATGTACCAGAAATAAACAAATTACTGCAACTATAGAATGGAACTGGGAATTACTTAAGATACTGGTCATATTTCATTTTAAGTCGATTTCACTGTGGATTTTGAAAGCGCCCGTTATCAACAAATACATTTTTAGGAATCATCGGCTCATAGGCATTTGTTCTTCTTCACAAATATATAACCCTACACAAAATATCTGGGATAAGTGGCTTCGCTGAGTCATAACTTTTACATGGAAAAAACAACAACGTTTCATCAAGCCAATGATAGATTATGAAAAACCAAGAGAATGTCAAGATACAAAAGGAGACATTATCCATGTTAAATAAATGATAAAAATGGGAACTGTGATTTTCATTGTTTTTTCACGTTGCAAGCAATGCTGACTGGAGAAGAAAAAACCGGTATGAAAATTCAATAAAATTGCAATATGTTTAAAACAAAGAAAACATACCAGCACTGACAGTGATCGCCTCAATGAATTGTTCCTTCCAAGACGATGTACCAACCACTAGTGACCATTTACCTTGTTTAACTAATCGATCAACTGTGTGCTAAAAAAAAAGAATTGAACAAAGATAGTGTATACGATGCTATACAGTGCTACACAAATTTTCAAGAATTGGCTTTTTAGGGAATTCGTTTAACTGGTTGGAGGATTTCATCATGAGCTGACATCAGTTAGAGGACTATTGGAAAACAAGTTGGGAGTACTGGACAGCTGTTTCATCCTATCTTGGGACAAGTTCCAGTGGCTTAATGGTCTACGAGCTAGTTCTATTTCGAATCCCTATGGGCGCGTACTGATGAAGAGTCCCAAACTAGGATGTAAGAGCTGTCCAGTACTCCCAGGTTTTCCAATGGTTCTCTAACTGAAGTCGACTCATGATGAAATCCTCCAACCAACTATACAAATTTATTCTAATTTGTGTTATCTATAGTCTGATTAAATTCTCTATGTGACATTTTTATTTCCCAAAGTAAACAACATCAACGTCTTTAGGTTGCTTCAATGCGTTTTGTTTGAGCATTACTTTGGAGATGCTAACGGAAGGAAACTTCTTTCATATTATTTGAAAAGACAATGTCTATTATGACAAATTACAATGAGCAATAAACAAAAATGATAAATTGGTGACTTCATCTACATAATCTAAAATGGTTCGTAATTAATATCAATATCATTCTGAATAAGGAATATTTTGTTGTTTATTTTCTTCTAACACTTATTCGTTTCTACTCAGAAGTCTTACTTACCCACCTCTCAAGCTTCTTCTATATGTAAGCTTTTGCATTTACATATAAATTATCATTACTTTGTTGTGTGGACTTAATCGGTGTTTTGTACAAGATAATAAATATGGTTTAATCAAGCATCTTTTGCGTGTTAGAGAAAATTACAGATGTATCGATAACCGAAACATTCAGTATTTAGCACATCAATTAGTTAGTTAGATTTGAAAGTATTTGAGAGAAAAACACTAGATGAAATTAAAAACTTTAATTATTATCTGAGTAAAAGAAACAACAGTTTTTCTTCAGTTAGGTTAAAGAGTTTCTGCCCACAATTTCTTCGAACCCAACATCCAATCTATTCTATTTTAAAAACGGAATCATAGGATTTACACTGAACAATAACAATAATGGGCAAAGTACCCGAGGATTGGAAGAAAGGATAATTATTCAAACTACCAAAGAAAGGAGACTTAATTCAGTGCAAAAACTGGCTCGGAATTATGCTCCTGTCCAGCCCAAGCAAAATACTAAGCTGCATCATCCTGGAGAGAATCAAACAAGCCAACCTGGATGAAAAACTTCGACCGGAACAGGCCGGATTCAGGAGAAACAAGTCATGTATTGATCAAATCACCACTCTACGGATCATCATTGAACAAAGCTTGGAATGGCAGTCACCTCTCCACCTCACTCAACTTCATCGACTTTGAAAAGGCCTTCAGCAGACAGCGTCGATCGAGAGGTCATTTGGCAACTACTTCGCTACTACGGGGTGCCATCGACAATTATACATCTCATCCAACAGTTATTCGACAATGCTGCATGTCAAGTAATCCACAACGGGAAACTTACCGAAGCCTTCGAAGTGAGGTCAGGAGTGAGGTAAGGCTACTGTCTACTATCGCCAATGATTTTCCTGACTGGAGTAGATTGGATAATTCGACAGACAACCAGCAATGAAGAAACAGGCATAAAATGGACTCACACAAAAAGGGACTTGGAGGATCTGGACTTCACCGATGACATATGTCTGATTTCCCACAAACTGGAAGATATGCAAGTGAAAAGCAACAAGTTGACAGAAGAAGCATCAAAGATAGGACCTCCTTCAGGTGAACAAAGAGAAAACAGAGGTGATGAAGATTCCTGGCCAACACCATCAGCAACAACAACATACAACAATCAGCAAGCATAAATGGGAGGAACCTGAAAAAAAAACCTCGTTTACCTACTTACCTACCTGGGAAGCATCGTCTCAACTACAAGAGGGTGTAACTGACGAGGATATCAAAGCCAGAATCAGTAAAGCAAGACAAGCTTTCATTACTCTCAAGTCTGTGTGGAGGTCAACAGCACTCACCATCAAAAATAGCATCCGGATTTTCAACTCCAATGTGAAATCAGTCAGTGCTACTCACCATACGGATCAAAGACTTGGCCAGCGCGTCATAAAGACCATCTCAAACAAACTACAGACCTTCATCAACAGCTAGCTGTCTTCGCTCAATACTACTCAAAATCAGATGGCCGGACAGAAAAGATCACCAACAGGGAGGAATCTCTGGCAATGAGCGAACCAACACAGTAGGAACCGATTGTGAAACAAATAGGCAGGAAGAAATGGAGATGGATTGGCTGGCCATACTCTGAGGAAACAAACCATCAAGTGAGTGACATCACTAGACAAGCCATCGCTCGAGTGGAACCCGAAAGGGAAGCGGGCGGCGAGTTGGTCGTCAGTGCTAGGGTGGGGTGACTTGGAGGAGGTCATGTGAAGATGAGGTGAAAGCATGTGGGCAGACTTGGAGCGAGGTAAAAACGTTGGCAGAGAACTGAACGCCATGGAGACGCGCAGCTGAATCCCCATATTCCTCTAGGAATTAAAGGATATCATAATAATAAGAACAGTAATAATGAATATTTAGATATGTAGAGTCTGTAACAATATGATTGCACATTCTTTTGTCAGATTTTAAAAATAGAAACAGTGTACACAACTTTGTTTTAGAAGGGTTCATGGTAAAATATAACTAACTTCGGAGAGGAATTTAAAATACGATGTGCTGCTGGACACTTCATCTTCTCACTGGTCCATACTGTGTAATTGCCTCATTTTTACCGATGTTGTGTCCTTCGGATTTTGCAGGAACCTTTTATCCTCATCGGAGGACCATTCTACAACCGGTGCACAGCTTCTACCAGCAGACGCGACACTAACAGTCAACACTATTGTGGATTATATTAATAGTTTGTAGCAACGGACTTTATCTATTAATTTATATAACTCATTAACACTGTATTTTTTATAATATGCTGCTACACTATCGTTTCATTAACTTGTATTTTTATTGAATTTGAGGTTTTCCCGTCGATTGATTGAACTAAAGTGCTCGGTTTCAGGTTGATATGTCGGCTTCTTGTGCAGATGCTTCGACGATTTCTGGGCATTTAGTTAGTATTTAATTGGTGGATGGTGACTAGCAGTGGAATCCAGGATGTGCATTTCGTCCTATTTGGGACGTCCGCATCTGCACAAGAAGCCGACATGTTAACCTGAAACCGAGCACTTCGGTCCAATCAATCGATGGGAAAATCAAAAATTCAATTCAATAATTAATATGACCCGTTGCACAAGAGGTGGCTCTCGTGGCCCAAGTGGTCTAGTGGATAACGTTTTGGCGTTTGAAACTATGAATACTGGGCTCGAGCCTCTGTGGGAACATCATCACTCACTGAGAAGTGCAGGTACATCCAGCTGACGAGTCCAAAACAGGATTCCACTGCTAGTCACCATCCACCAATTAAACTTGTATTTTTATTCAAATACTTGCCGAGTTCGTTATAAAGTTCCCTACAGATATATATTTTTTCTTTCGATTCATTTCCTTATTGACTTTTACTTCTGTGTATTTTTGAGAAATAGAAAAAAAATTAACAGAAAACAATTGTTACCCTGATGAATAGAACATCTACAAGTAGGCTTTTGTTAATTTCCTATTATTTTTAACAGGAAAAAAAGAAACTATCATGAAAAGATGAATGAAATTCAACCATGCAAGAATAAAACCTCTAAAGAAGAAAAATAAAAGACAGTTGACATGAACTATTTTGTGTTTATATTTTAAGAAAGAAACATTGGTTAGCTTTGTTTACTTCAATCAAGAAAAAAACACAACAACATCGGACAGATAAATTCATCAATCAATATGAGAAACTAATTTGGTAATGTTATCATCACTAATAAAAGAGGGACCAGTCAGAATCTAATCGCACCCAATCATTCATTAAAAAGGCGTACAATGATGCTCCATGTCAAGTGATTCAAAATGGAAAACTCAGCGAAGCCTTTGAAGTGAAGAAGGGAATAAGTAGGACAAGGTTGCTTACTATCGCCGATGATATTCTCAATTGTGATGGTGAACTGGATCATGCAACACACCGTGACGAACGGGAATACATCGAACCAATAAGAAGACTTTACAAGATTTGCATTTCGTGGACAATTTATGTCTGATTTCAGACACACTTGAATATATCCAGGTCCAAGAGATTCACTTGGCAGAAGATACAGCGAATATAGAACTCCAGGTGAATAATAAGAGAACAGACGTGTAGAAGATACCCAGCCAACAATAACAAGGCACTGAGCCACATCAAAGGAAGAAATATGAAGGAAGTCAATTCATTCATTGGTATATACCTAATATCCTTTCAAATACAGGTGGCACAGTTGTGGATGTCAAAGGCGGGGTCGAAAAAGCCCAACAAACTTTGATTAATCTGAAATTGGTGTGAAAATTTTTTCACTTTTTTTTCATTTTTTGATTTACAGCTTGATTCCACACTGTATTTTTGGTACAAGTATAGAATTTTCAGCATGTATATCGATAGCCCAAATTTTTCAGGCCAACCATAGATATCAGGTGTGCGTCGGCAGGGGATCAAACCTCGGACCATGTGCATGGTCAGCATAAAAACAAGACTCAGATTTTAAAGGCTAGTGCGAAGTTGGTTTTTCTTTATATTCAGAAACAGTGTGTCACGAGGAAAAATTTCCGGTAGGCTGCAGACTTGTACCCACAGGTCAGAGGGCCGGTCAGAAAGGTTTAGCAACAGGTTACTCTGTCAACTAAGTGATCAAGAACCTATTGCCTAACAAATATGCCGAAGAAAATAGAGATGGATCAGACAAACTTTGCCCCACGTCTAGGCCTCGAGTTGAACCCGCCTGGGGGAAGATGAGATTGGCATCTAAAAGTTATATGGAAATGACAGTGTTCTGAGGGGATAAAGGCTTATGAGCAATCATGGGGCCAGC